CAATTTATTATTATTTTCTTTATTGTTAAAGTTATATATTAACAAATAATAATTCAGATGTTAATAATGATTTAATAAAAATTCCAGATAAAATAAATAATTTTACAAATTAAATAAATGAACTTAAATATAGAAATCTGATAGATGTTAAAAAACTTTTTAATTATTTAGATGAAATTGAAATTATTAAAATAATAAAAGAAAATATGAGAGAAAATAAAAATAATAAATTAAATGAAGATAATACAATTGAATAATCAAAAATTACATATAATGAAATAATTAATATGTTAAATTCTTTAAAATTTTTTTTCAATAAAATGAAGATTATAATAAAATTCTTGAAAATTTTGAAATCCAAAAAAAAATTTTTTTTATTAAATAGTAAAGTATAATATAATTATTAATTAATAAATATTTTAATACTTTAAATTTAGATAATAACTTTAATAATAATTTAGATAATTTTGATGAATTAAATAATTTTAATAAATAATTCAAATAATAATTTATATAAATAATATAATTAATTCATCTAAAAAATATTAATTTGATTTTATTAATAAAAAATAATTTTTATAAATTTTTACATTATATTTTTTTTGTAATATCATCAAACTTATATATACTGTTACAGAAGGAAAATTATTATAATAATTAATAATAAAAATATTACTAATACATAGTAAAAAAAAACTTTATCAGAAAAATTTTACTTGCAAATATATGTAGATATATTTGTAATTAATAAAAACTGAATATATACTTGTACACAAAATTATTTTGAAACTCAAAATTATAATTTTAGAAAAAAAATCAAAATAGTTTTTTATAAAAAACAAAATTATTTTACTTAAAACTCAAAATTTTTTAACTATTCAAATAAATTCTTTGATTAAAAACACATTTAACTAGATATTTTTTTTACTTTCATATATAGAATAAATTCTGTGTAAATCTCAAAAAGACAAAATATTCCAAAATCAAAAATTAATTTAGAAACATATATAATTAAATATATGTGAATATATTTGTTATAACATATGAATTAATATGGATAAATATGGATTAATATAGATTAATGTGATTTATATAGATAAATGCATAAGTAGATAAATATATCTAGATTATACTTGCACACAAAATTATTTTGAGATCCCGAAATTGCAATTTCGGAGAAAAAAGTCGAAATAGTTTTTCATAGAAGACGAAATTATTTTACTTAAAATCCGAAATTTTTTGACCACCTAGATTTATTCTTTGATTAAAGATACATATAACTAGGTACTTTTTTTACTTCCATATATAGAATAGATTTTGCATAAATCTCAAAAAGTCGAAATACCTCAAAAATCCAAAATCAATTTTGGGAACATGTATAATTTAGATATATTTGTTTCCAAAAATTTTCTAATGTTAAATTAATATTAAAAAAAATATAGATAATAAAAAATAAGAAAATAATTTAAGTGTAATATTAAAGATCATTGATTATGTGACACACAATAATAATTATATAACTTAATATTTAAATATAGTTATACAAAGTATAGTAAAATATAAATCTTTAATCTATAAAAAAAATATAAATATTAATATCTAGTTAATTAGTAATAATTAGTAATAATTAATAATTTTTAATAATACTTAATAATAATTTAGAAACTTTAAATAGTATAAATAGTATTTAATAACATAATAATTCTTATATGTAAATTATTTATAAATAGAATAATTTTACCTTTCATAAATTACCAAATAGGAAAACAAAACTATAATTATAGATTATACACTAGTAAAATAAATATAAAAAAAATACAATAAGATCTTGCTCTCAGTTTTTTTTTTTTTAGTTTAGTTTGACTTAACTAAACTTTTAGTTTTGTTAATTTTTGCTCCTTAACTTTTGTTAAATAAATAAATAATAATTATATGGGATAAAAATTTAACTATTTTATTATATATAATTTTTATTTAATAAAGTATGATAAAAATAATAAAAATTTGAAGATAAAAATAATTTTATAAAAGAAGTCCAACTATAAGAAGAATAATCTACAGCTATACACCAAATTAGATAAGATGTAAAAACTATGTAATCTTGAAATTTACTTTTAGAAAAAGTAAACTATAACTATATGCAAAGGTAAATAAGCTGTAAATATTATAATACTTATAATTTAACTTCAATAATATATATGATAATAATTCAGATATATGAAAGAGGATGTTTTGAAGAGACTAACAAATCTAATAAATTGAAAAAGACTAGATCTAACAGACTAACAAGTCTAAAAACTTAATGTTAAATAAGTAAAACCAATACATAGTAATAAATATAGAAAATTATTAATATAGAAAAAAGATATAAGTTCTATATCATTTAAACCATTTGTTATAAGACGAGTTAAAGATGTAAATTTTACAGATGAAAAAGAAGTATTAGTTATAAGATAGATAAAAAATATAAACCCTGTATACTAAATAAAAAGATAATGGATTGGAAAATAAACCTCAGAATAATTCAAAAAGATGAAAAAAAATCTATATTGTGAGTCAACTTCTCTCACTGAAAGAATAGCAAAGTTCAATTGGTCATGTTACAATAACAAATAGTTTATTCGTTTTACCTAAAGTTGAACTGGTATCTTTTATTATTAAAAAAGCATACCAAACTGTTGTGTGTCTTAAGATGTAACATGTTAAACTCCTTAAAAGAATTGATGTAAGAAGTGAAGAAACCAAGTAGATTTTTACCCTTAACAATATATAACTTGTCTATATATATAGAATTTTGCTGACCTAACAATATATTTATATACAGGTTCAACTGTATATATAAGATTATGCTTTAGGATTATATACAAATAGGTATTGAAAAAAAGTAATATTCCAAGATATAATTATTACAGAAAGATATATATAAAATTATGCTTTGGAATATTATCAAATATAATAACAATTCAATACTATGTACTTCATTCTTAAATGATATTTGAATGCAGATAACAATTTGGTACTATGTACCTCAGGTTTGATATTTTTTTTTTCATTCCAAAAACCTTCCAGATGGAAATAGATACTTTACTAGATTTCACATTAAGATTTTCCAAGTGGGATTATTTCAGCATTACATATCTCAACTCTAATCCTTATAGAAGAATTAATCAGAAAACTAGGGCACTATATACTAAGTTCAGGTATAGCCCTCATATTAAACTTGCAAATGATGACACATGACTGAATGCATTATTGAATATTTTTTTTACCTATATGTTATAAATTATATATCATGACACTGACAATGGTATTACATTTCTGTTATCAAAAAATGTATCATAAAATATATATATTATAACACTAATGATGGTATTGCATTTTGTTATCAAAAATATACTATAAAATATATATCACGACACTGATGAAGATATCACATTTCTGTTGTCAAAAATGTGTCACAAAATATATATCATGACACTGATGATGGTGTTGTATTTCTGTTACATTTTTATTGTCACAACATATAGTTAAGACTATTATAGTCTAATTTAAGTTGTTTTTAGTTTATATAAACTAAAATGACTGTATTTTTAATCAAAGAATTTATTTGAATAATTAAAAAAATTTTAAGTTTTTTAAATAAAATAATTTTGTCTTCTATGAATACTATTTTGACTTTTGGTCCTGAAATATTTTGACTTACTATAATAGATTATTTTGTATGCAAATATAATCAAAACTATTGAATTGAGTCAAATATAATTAAAAATTAAAAGATTGAAATTGAGTCAAGTGGATTTTTCATTTTTATATAGTATAGTAAATTGATGCAATTATTGAGTCAGACATAATTAAAAATTGAAAAAATTAGAATTGAGTTAAAGACTTTTTACTAAAAACAAATTATTATATAATAAATAAAAAATAATTTATTGTTTTTCAATATATGAAATTTTTTTTATCTTAATTCAAAGAAGTTTCCAAAAAATGTTCATCAATAATAATAATAAAAAAATTGAAGTAATTCTAGTTTGAAGTATTATATATCAATATTATCAATATTTTGTAATTAATCATTATATAATATTCATTGTATATACAGTACTATATACTTAATAGGGTCATTAACAAAGAACTATCTGTTACTTGAATAAAAAACATTTGTGCAAGTATTTTCAAGCCTAATCCAAATATAATAATAGCGAAAGATTTAAAATAACCTATATCTAAAAATACTATAATATTTTTTTAAAAAAATTAATAAATATCAATACACATACATATATATTCATACAGATATATTATAGATTTACCTGTAATAGCTTCCAAATTAGAGGTTAATACAACTATATTAACTATATTTATTAGCCATGAATATTCAAGGTCATCATATGTCCAAATAACTTTCAATATTAATATTATTTTACCAAAACTTGATATAATCAATGCCATTGTAATATAATTATATCTGTTAATAATATAAAAAATAATAAATATCAATAATCTAAATAATAATAATAATATAAATAATAATAAATATCAATAATCTAAATAATAATAATAATATATAAATAATAATTTAATACTTGCTTAAAAATAGCATATTTGTCCCTTATATAAAGACTAACTGCCAATCTAACCCCAAATTGAAAAACAATAAATTCTATAAAATTAATAATAATAATAAGAAAAATAATTAAGAACGAATAAATTATCAATTAATTAATGATATAATAATTTAATAAAAAATTAAATAAAATAATTTCTCACCCAAAACACAGAGAAATAAAATGTATAAATATTGCAAGAACAATGGCTGTTCAATAAATGGAATATTTGAAGCCATTACATAATGATTTTCTAAACGTAACCATTTAATATCTTTATTTTGTTAAAGAATCATAAAATAATGATAAAGTAAGAATAATCAAATAAGAATAATCAAATAATAATCATCAAATAAGAGTTAATATTATAATTATAACAAAAGGATACATACATCAAAAAGTATTAACAATATTCCAAGCTTCAATACATTTGGCTAAAAAAAAAAGTCATTATTAAATTATAAAGTAAATTAAACGAATTGATTAGTTAATTACTAAATTACTCACACCTACTCCATAATCTCTATATTCTAATCGATTAAATAATAAATGTCTATAAACTTGTGGTTTATGTAAAAGCATATCGATAAAAATTATAACGAAATCATGTTCGATATATTTATCTGCAAATTTTTTACATTTCTCCTATTTATAATTAATTATTAATTTAATAATATTTATTAATTAATTATTAATTTAATAATATTTATTAATTAATTATTAATTTAATAATATTTATTAATTAATACTATTTATTTATAATATTTAAATAATTATTATGAATATTTGCTTACACAATGAGTTAAGTGAATATTCCCTTTACTATATTCTGTATATAAGTTTGTCACTGGTGCTCCACATTCTACGCAAATTGGCATCTCTCGAAATATAATTTAATTTACATTAACGAATTTAATTATCTTTACAATTGATGAGTAATGATCATCGATAATTAGAATTTTATTCAAGAATGGTTGTATTCAGTTTGTCAGTTTGTCAATTTGTTGGGTTTAGAGAAGAGAAGAAGAAGAGAAGAAGAAGAGAAGAAGAAGAGAAGAAGAAGAGAGGATTCTCTTTTTTTTTTTGATCCGAAATAAATATATTAAATTCACATGATTTTAATTTTACTAACATTTTAATTATAAATAAATTTACTTAATTGGAAAGATCAGTTTCTTTTAAATTAATAAACTTCTAACTGATGCATATATTTTTTGAAATGTAATATCCAATTTCATTATTTTCATCATTATTATTATTATCATCATTCATCAATAATTAATTTTAACAAACAAAGTGATTCCTTTAAAGGATATAATTCAATAAATTCTTTTTGAGAATTTTCAAAATTTCCCAAGTGGTACAAGTTGAAGGTGATAATAAATAATATTTAGAGATACAAAAAAAAAAAAATTTTCTGCATTAGCAAAGGGTTTGGGTTTGACCATTTATGAATATCATAAGATAATATATATATGGGAAATATTACTTTGTTGAATTGAAAGATAAATAAAATAGTTCATGTTATTGTCTTTATGTTCTTTACTTTTTTCAATGTTTCAATGTTTTCAATGGTGATAGCTTTGATAAAAAAGGGACTAGGAATTTAATGAATTTGAACAAATTCCTTTTAAATATATGGATATAAATAATCTATAATCTATAGTTTTATAACGTTTAACAATCAGGAATGTTAAACTCCGAGTAAATCTGTGTAATCTTAAAAATGTCTTCAAAATTCAGGTGCATTGAATAAACTTTGAATCAAAATACATCATTACGCATGTAATAGGTTACAATTTTTACATGAGTAACAACCAAAACTAAACTGAGAAGTTGTAAATTTTAAACCAGAGGGAACTTACAAACTCTTTTTTGGCAAGATTTTTTTTTCTCTTTTCTAGAACTTCGAGTCGATAAGTTGATAAAATCGTTAACTTTAAAAGTTTACCGATGAGCACGTTACAGTATTCTTCTTCTCAGTCTTCACCTACAATTTCCACACCACCTCAATCACAACTCTACTCTCCTTCGCAAATAATGTCTTCTTTACAACCACCGACCTCACAACCAGTAAAGATGAGCAGTAATACTTTTGTTCATAAGCTTTACAAGTATGTTTCGTATTTTAGTGGGTTTGATTTCTAAACAAATTTTACAGCGATTGGGAAAGTAAGCTTGTTTGTATTTCCAAGGATATGTACTACCCTTCGAAGAATTCTAAAATCGTGCTTCTTTTCGACACTACTCTTTTTATTCTTATGAAAAACTCTTCACGAATTTGATAATATATAATATCTATCTATCTATCTATATTCATATATATAAAGTATGGTTGTCGACAAGCAATATCAACACCTTATCGCCTGGAATTATACTGGTTCATCCTTCATAGTATGTAATATTATGGAATTTTCTCGTGACGTTCTGCCAAAACATTTTAAGCATAATAACTTTTCAAGTTTCGTACGTCAACTAAACATGTAAGTATAAATAATGGAATATTATTAATTTATATTATTTCTTTATTATTATTGATTTATTATTAATTTATTATTGATTTATTATTGATTGATATATGAATAATTAATTGCTATAATAATAAACTATAATAAACTATAATAAACTATAATAACTATAATAAACTTAATAAACTATAATAAACTATAATAAACTATAATAATATTCTATAATAATATTCTATAATAATATTCTATAATAATAATAATCTTTAATAATAATAATCTGTAATAACAATCATTCTATAATAATTAGGTATGGATTTCATAAAGTAAATAAATCACCTCGTGGTCATCGTACATTGGCGGAAAATCAAATATGGGAATTTTCTCATCCAAAATTTCTACGTGGACGATCAGATTTATTAGATGATATTAAACGTAAAGCTATGGAATCAGAGACTTTAAGAAGAGAAACAGGAGATTTACACGCACACATTGCCATGTTGCAAGTCGCACAAAACGATTTAGTTCAACAAATTAGACAATTACATGAAAACTTTGCAGAAGTAGTGAGAGATTTGGCAGAAACAAAGAAAAAACAAACGGATCAACAAGATATGATGAAGAATATGTTTGCACATCTGTCAAATCAAGGTCCTCCATCACGTAGGTTTGATCGTGGTACCACATCATCATTTAGCTATAATTTGCTATGATTTACTATTATAATTTACTATTATAATTTACTATTACTATTATAATTTACCATTATTATAATTTGCTATAATTTGCTTATAATTTCTATAATTTACTACTTTTATATTAATTAATATAATAAAATATTATTGATATCACATATATATATATATATTATTACTTATTATTATTGCTTTAATTACTTTAATTACATATTTATTCAATAATAATAATTATTATTAGTTCCATATGAATTGAATTACGAAAGCAAACCTGAAACTGGAAGACCACCGATATATATTACTCCAGCAGAAAATAATAATTATTTACTTAATATTCATAATAATATACCATCACGTCCAACGACACCATTAACTGTAAACACTAATATAACAACTCATGGAAATTCATCTGGTCAAACTAGTCCACATGGGCAAAGCCCAAATCGTATTATGAACATTCAACTTCCTACAAGTCCTTATATAGGAGGCACAATAATGGCAAATCAAGTAGGACCTTTATCCCCTAATTCTTTTAGTTCATTTAATGCAGCTATAAATACTCCCTTACCACCAAGTCCATCACCCGGATCACCTATGGCACATCTTTCTGATGATGAAATGGATGGTTCATTTTATTGTGCAAGTCCAGGAAGTAATGGAGGATCGGATGATATTATTTTTAATCCAAATCAAATGTAGCATAAAATTTTTATATTATTGTTATTATTATTATAAATTTAATTTTTATTTTTTATTTATTTTTATTTTTTTATTATTATTATTATTTTATTTTATTTCATCATATATTATTACTATCTTTTTTTTATTATATCATCTATCGTTACATTATTACTAGTTATGATTGAAAGTGATATCTATGTAATATCTGCATAATATCTAATTGTTACTGGTGTTTTTCTTTGATATCTGGTATTTCTTTGTTTCTGGTGTTATTTTTATTCTTATAAGGTTTGTTTCTTAAGAAGAAAAAAATTTTTCATTTCAATTTTTTTTTTTTTTACTTATTTTTAGGAGAAGAATTATAAATTATATTTTACGTAATTTACGATATTTACGATATATACGATATTTTACGATATATACGATATTTTACGATATTCTTTAAGATGATGTCAAATCTTTTTTATGTCCCACACACGTGAACATTTACCAATTTATCAATCTATCACATTTTTTTTTTTATTTTTCGTGTATCATATATTATTTTTTATTATCCATTATATCCATTATATCCATTAACAGCAATTTTTCAATTTATATTTTATTATTTTAGCCACCCTCCCTTTTTTTTATATTGTTTTATAGGTTTATCCAATTATTTCTTTTTTTTTTTTTTGGAGAAAGTTTTTTGGTTCAGATTTTCAAATTTTCATTAAATATAAATATAAATATAAATATACTTTCAATATTAGAAATCACAAAAAAAAATTGAAAAGATTGAAAGTATCTGGATTAAAAGAATACGTTTTTATTATTATCGAATTGTAAATTTTATAATTTTAATTTAATAAAATTATTAAAAATTATTATTAAACTTTTTTATTTTTTATAATTGTTTATTATGATCGATTTTCGGCGTGCATAAGATACATTATTTTATTTTATGCAATTATTGAACTTGGTACTACTGTTCTCCTGTTCTCGTGTTTAATTAAACATTCATTCATAATAATGGATGAACGACATAAAATTAATTTGATAGCACTATGTTCAATAAATCACAAATAACCTCTAATTTACCGCATTATTATAGACGCCGTTTCCTTAGTCGTAGAAATAATTTAATTAGACTTACTCTGGTCGCTTTATTACTTTTATCTTTATATTTCACGATATTAAAACCTTGGGTCAAATGGAGGGATTCTAGAATAATATCAAAAATAGATTCTTCAACAAAAAATGATGCATCAAAAACTGATGCAAGTTGGAAAATAAATTTGAATGAAACAATCAATAGTAGATTTAGTGTATTTAATAAAGAACAATTCACTGTTGAGGCATTAAAAACAAATGGGTTGATCCCAGTGACAGCAGTTCTAATAGGTTGGAAGAGAAAGGAGAGTTTACAAATTGTAGTAAATTTTATATCAAAATATCCATTTATAAAAGAAATTTTAATATGGAATAACAATGATAAGATAAGATTGCACAAACAGGTAAATTACATTATTATTATTATTATTATTATTATTATTATTATTATTATTATTATTATTATTATTATTATTATTATCATATTATTATTATTATAATTTAAAATATTTAATATTTATTTTATAATTTAGGATTTTCGACTTAATAATACAGAAGTCAAATTGAATATATTTAATTCAGATGAGAATCTTCATGATCTATCAAAATATATTACATGTACAATGGCGAAATATGATTATTGTTATTTTCAAGATGACGATTGGTTGAATTTATATATGGATAGTATTTATACCAATTTTTTAAAGTATCCAAATTTAATTCATTCAAATACAATGCCAATTATTCATTTAGAACATCGAAGATGGATGTTTGCTAGTAATGGTATGGTAAATATATTATTATTATATATTATTATATATTATTATATATTATTATATATTATTATATATTATTATTATTATCATATCATCATCAATTTATTATTATCATTTTATTTAGATAAAAATCTTCATACAGGATTTACTTGGTTGGGTTGTGGATCTTTTATTCCACGTATCAAAGTACAAAGATTTTTAGGACAAATTGGTTCAGCTTCTTTAGAGAAAGAACGTTTACGCCTGGTAGACATGTATTTTTCTTTATGGACCAATCAATATCCTTATCAACTTTCAAATCCTTTAACCACATTGGATCAAAGTGAAGATTGGAGTAAAAGTGCAGATCAGTGGACAGTTGTCTACGGAAATATTGTATATATTATTACAGAATTATTATTATTTTTTTTTTTTTTTATTAAAAGAAAATAATAGAATTTCATGAAATTATTAATTAATTTAATTTATTAGCTTGATGCCGTTCAAAAGTTATATACAGCATTGGCTGTTAATACTGGATCTGAACTATTTGAACGTCAAGAAGAAAATCCACATTATTTAGATCGGGATGTTAGGTTATTATCTCTTTTAATTCTTTTGAATGATATTAAAGGATATTATCTATTTGATATCATTAAAATTTAAACTTTATTAACTAACCTTGATATATTATATTTATTTATTTATTTAGAACACCATGTATAAATGATAAATGTCTTTTTATTACCAATATAGATCCATTTCCTCAACCATCAAGTATATGTTATGCCAACAATATTACTCATATTCATGAACACGAAGCCGAATTTAATGCATTGGATTTTCCCAGTAATGAATTTTGGATTAAACATGCATATCATAAGGCCGTAGATTTTGATTTGAGTACTTGTTGGAATTCTTTTAAAAGTATTTATTTATATTTATCTTTACATATTTTTATATTTTTATATTTTATATTTTTATATTTTATATTTTTATATTTTATATTTTTATATTTTATATTTTTATATTTTATATTTATCTATATTTTATTTAAATTATATTTTATATTTTTATATTATATATTTATCTATATTTTATTTAAATTATATTTTTATATTTATAAATTTATTACATGTCCATTTAATTCCAGAACCTAAAGTAGACGACTATTTTGGACTACAATTTGTCGAACCACAAAATTCTCATAAAATTACGATTGTATCATCGAAGGATGTAAGTAATTTTGATATATCATTCATAATAAAATCATCTTTGGATGGACACAATTGGGTAAATTATTATTATTTTTATTTTTTATTTGTTGTTGTTGTTGTTGTTATATTGTTATCGTCATTTTCTAACTTGATAAATGTAATTTATAATTTATCAATTTATTCATTTTATTTATAGAGAATTTGTGATAAAATTTCATCATCCGAGAAAATGAAAGACATAAATTCATCAATTATTCCACCCAATCATTCTATTACAATAAATTTTAATTGTGAAATTAAGAATGAAAATTTGGAAAATCCGGAGAATCTTGAAGCTCTTGAAAATATGGAATATCGTTATATAAAATTTCAAATAGTAAGAAATTTCACTGAACCTTTTGAAATATGTTCTTTAATACTAGATGGATTAAGTGTATAATTTGTAATTTATAAATAATTTAAATTAGTTGGGTAATTTTTATAATTTATATTTCTTTGACAATATATAATTTGGGGTAAACGTATTGATTTATTTCTCTATCAAAAAAAAAAAAAAAAAAATTTATAATTCATATATTAAACAAAAAATGTTCAGAAAAATGAGCAATTTGCATTTAATGAATTACTTTAACAAAATTTATGTCGATCTTATCTGACTATTCTATAAGTTTGTGGCTCCGCCAATAAAATATGGCATAAATCACAATCATATGATGTAAACTATGTGGGATCAATGCGACGCGCAATCTATTAAAAATTTGGAAACCTACCTACATATAAATATTTAATTAAATAACAATTCACGAACCTAAAATAGTATGACGGATAAGCTTTCAATTTTTCGTGGGTCTAACATAATATCATAACTCTTGACTCCATTTGTCACGAATATTTTGAGAGGCCACTGATAAAATGGAGCCGTTCAACTGCAAAATAGAATCTTATATTGAATCTCTTGAAATCATTACTAACTCGAAGGATTGCAAGGCGCTGTTGTTAAATGATTATAGGAAAGTATATACGAGTTTTTTTTTGTTGGAAATATAGGAATTAGTGGCGTAACAAAACCAGTGTTGGAGCGCTGGGAACTTTGAATTCATCTGGTGTTCAAGTCTTCGAGATGACCCAGCACTGGCACTAGAAAACTTCGAGTTTGCCTAGTGCTAAATTCTTCGAAAACACCTGGGATAAAAAAAAAAGATGGAGATACCAGTTTAGAATTTTAGATAAATGGCCTGATTATAAAGTAGCAAGAAAATGTAAAGAATGTAAGGGGCGTTGATTCGGCCAATAAACCTTCGATTACAATTACGGTCATCACTGTAGTTGGTTTATTGAGATTACAAGGAACATTTAATACAAATTTTAAGGTGAAAAAAAAAAATGATGATAATAAAGAAATAGGTCCTTAAATCATAATCAGATGGTCTTTTTTGTCATTTTTATTAATTCAATTTTTGCTTGGTGAAAAAATGTAATGTTCACAATTAATATTCAAGCTGGGCTTGAAAGTTAAACAAAAAAAATTATACATGTTAAGTTCATTCACTAATGATGATGTACCTAAAGTTCGAGACTGGTGATTGACGTAATTATTAATAATTAAGATAATAAAAATTCACCTCATTAAATATTTATTATAAAATAAAAAATTTTAATTATAAGAAATTGTAAAATTGGGATATTGGTTCTTTTTTTTTTTAATTATTTTTTATTTTGTATAAATATTTTTGATATAATTAAAAAATTAAGAATAAACATCATAATGGACTTTTCTATCCTTTCCGAATTTACCCTCGTTTCTTAGCTTTAAAAATATAATATAAATCAAATATAAAATAATATAAATTAATTATATATAATGTTTTCATATAAGAAAAACAATAATCCTTCTTGCTTTGGCCTTTTCTCTATTCACTACATCATCCGTTAATATGCTCTCTTGGGATGCAATGAATACCATTTAAAAGATTAAGATCAAAAAGATTAAAGAATTAAAATTAAATTTATCACTACCTCAATATATGTTTCTCTTTAAAATTTAACAAAATCAATTAAATTATTCAAAATAACTAAAATTGTTAAATTTGAAAATTCAATTTCTTTCATTAATAAATGTGATAAATAGACAAATAGTTCTTCATAAACTGTTTGATGATATCCCTCTAAAGATCAAAAGAGATTAAAGATTTACAATTTATGGAAGGTGTCAAAATAATTCTTTTTATCCGAGAACCAAAAATACCTGATTTGATAATACATTACTATGAATTGAGGACTTAATAGTTTCGTGCGTTAAGCTTCCTCAATGCAGGTTCAGTATGTTCACAAAGAACACAATTTTCTACATATCTCTTTTACTGCATTCCCATTTATCTGTTTTTTTTCGAAATGTTTTATAATCATAAAAATTGATATATTGTTATACTGTATTTGACTTGTCTGGCTTTCGTGTAACATGGATTTTGTCAATTGAATTTAAACAGTGGTAGTATTTCCGGCTATAACTTGCAAAATTATAAGATGGTATATCAAGAAATGACTGAAACATTGTCTGTTGAAGAAGAATATGAGGTACAAATATTTTAACAAAGGCTTAAAACTGTTTTTTTTTTATTTTATTTTGTAAAACCTTATAATATTATCAACTTTCAACCTATTATTGTTAATATTTTATTTTCTTAATCAGTTTAAATCTTGTTTATTATAAAAAGCTAACAGTTTTAAACTTTACTATGATCTTTTTTCTTGACATTTTTAGGTAGAAAAGATTATAGAGAAGAAAGAAGAAAATGTGAGTACTAACAAATTCATTAGTTTTATATATATGTATAATATATATACATAATTATGTCAAGAAAAAAATATTTATCAAAATTAATTTATGACAACATATTTAAAGTTTAGTCTGTAAAAAAAATTAACATCTAATATAAAAGATATGAAAAATGGCTCAGATTTTTATTATTATCATTTTTTTAAAAAAAAAGAGAAATGCCCTGGTTCATATAATTTCTTATATTATTATTTTTTGAATTTTTTTTTTTTTTTTTTTGTAATTATTTCAATAATTTGCTTGTGTGAAATCCATAAAGATTTTTTTAAAAAATGCATCAATAATATGTGAAAAAAAATAAGTAATGAATTTAGAGATGTCAATCCTGATTAAATAAATTGAATATTTGAAATATTTTTTGTTCAGCTTTTAATTTGATTTTTTTTTAATTTTTTTTTTTTTAATTTAAATTTTTTTCTATATATGATTAACCTCATAGACTTTGCTTTTACTCTCTTTACATAGGGAATTGTTTATTATCTTCTCAAGTGGAAAGGCTATGATGATATACATAATACTTGGTAAAAATTCTTTGAAAAAAACCAATTAATTAATTAGATCTTAACTTTGTATAACATAAATCTAAACCATATTCTTTTATTATGTAGGGAACCTTCACACCATCTTGATTGTCCAGAATTAGTAAAGCAGTTTAACCGGGAGCAACGTGTGAAGTTTATAAAGATTATAAAGGAAAATGTCTCCAGCTCCAATTCACCAAAAGTATGTTTGACGTGTCTATTGTAAAATTGATCTTCAGTCACGTGATATTCACGATTTCAATGGTGGAAGTTCGTTTTTGGTCATCGATTTCCATTGTTACACGAATTTTATATAGAATGATTGGCCCGAATTATCATAATTTTTTATAATTAAAGCCACCTAAAATTTTGGTGGATTTTCATTTCTTTCATTTAAACGTTTGGAATCGAGTTTTTATTAGAAAAAATTCGACGGTATGTAACAACAAGTTCTTACATTAAATTCTAATTTTTAAAACGGAATAACTAATAAAAACAACGTTTCTTTTTAAGCAGTTTCACGTGAGCAAGTTAAATTATAAACGACAATGTTGATCGATGTAAATATTAGGATTACATCTTTAACAAGAATTCTTGCCGATCAACCAATAAAAAACGAACTTCCACTATGCGGTACTCTTTCGTATTTTTGACAACTTTCCTTTTTTTTTTTTTTTTTTAGAAATCTAAAAATTGTGCTACTAAACCTTCAGCACGTTCCAAAACTGCGAATGAGTTGGCATTTGAAAATTTCCTTGCAACTTATTCACATGATGGACCACCGATTTCCGTTATCAATGATGTTGATGACCAAGGGGTTCCACCAGATTTCAAATATGTTGATCATTATATCTATGGAGAAGGAGTTCCATGTCAGGAAGAACAGGTTGAAACTTTAGTAGGCTGTGACTGCTTGGACGGTATTTGCAAAGGAAGCAAGTGTAAATGTTTAAAAGAACTTAATGGAGGCAAATTAAACTACTCACGAGAAACTAGCCAAGTTAAGATCGCGCCTAGGCATATCATCCTCGAATGTAATTCAAAATGCTCTTGTGGTATAAATTGCATTAATCGTATCTCCCAACAAGGTCGCAAAGTTCATTTGTCAATCAAAAGGTTTGCGGAAAAAGGATGGGGAGTAATTGCCACGAAACGAATTGATGCAAATATGTTTATTACATATTACTATGGAGAAATCATAACATCCGCCGAAGCGGACCTTCGTGGAAGCAAATATGATGAAGTTGGTCGAACCTATTTATTTGATCTTGATTTTTGTGATGATGGCACAAATGAGAATTCCAAATGTCTTTACACAATTGATGCGTGGCGTTATGGAAATATTTCACACTTTTTCAATCACTCTTGTGATCCGAATCTCGTAGTTTATCCAATATTGAATGATAATGGTGATATCAGACTTCATCATATTGCTTTCTTTTCTAATCGAGTTATAGAAAAAGGTGAAGAACTTACGTTCAACTATACTGGATCATTTGAACGACATGATGCTGATAATGTATTTGAATCGGATGGAAGTTTTAGGTTAGAAATTATGGATAAATATAAGTGCAAATGTGGGTCTAAACATTGTCGAGGATATTTTCATGCAATTTAGATATCTAAGAATTTGATATTTTGTATATAAAAATATATATATATAACCTTTCAAATTTCTTTTATTTCCTTTATTCTTTTATAAATTCCTTTACAAATATGTTAGGTAAAAAAAATATATTTTTATTCAATAAAAAAAATAATGGTTCCTTTTTCCGATTTTTTTTCCTTTATTACTATCTATTTTTCTGTTGTTTTTGTGTGACAATTTTTGACATAACGGATGCAAGTTTCTAATCGAGCGAAACTTTTATTCAATTTATTATGAAGAATAAATTGCTTAGCAATCAGTGGTTTCGGTGTTTTTAATTAGAGGATCGACATTGCATTGATTTTATAAAATTAATTTTTAGGATCAAAAAAATATAATATCTAGGAGGCCAACATAAGGTTACACGTATAATTCATATTAAGCCTTATATGCTAATTAACACGGTCCAACAGTCTGTAAATCTTATTGCAGAGGGTATTATATTTTCTGATTTGCATATTCACATAATTGGTGAATTCAAAAAATGTTCAAAAGTAGAGAAAATTACAATAGTTAACATTTACTTGTTCTTTATTAGTGAGTTTTATATAAACTGAAGGGTAAACAATTTATTCTTTCAGTTGTACAAAGTTTATCAAATTCTTTATAACATGGATTTGTTTGTTTTTGCAAAAAGAAAATTACAAAGTTATGACATCTGCTTTTGCAACAATAATTAAGAACTTTTTGAGTTAAAAACTAAATAACAAATTGTAGTGAAATTAGTAAGAAATATAATATTTTATTCAGTATTTATCTTTGTACATTTATTTTTAATTGTAATATTAAATATTGGTTATTTCAAGAATAATGAATTTTATAGTATTAAAAATGGATTTTTCTCCTCAATTCTAATTAGATTTTGTAAGAATTAATCTTTTATTTTACAAAAAATTACAGACAACATGTTGAATACTTGAAGTTTAACATGAAGCAGAAATTAAACTCAATATATAAAGATAAAATTTCATTGGATATGTGAAAAAAAATTAATATTAATAAAAAATTTAATAGAAAATAATTTATTTGAAATAACATATCAAACTGTACAAGATATTTTACAATAACTATTTGATAACCTTCACATATTATCCTTTAATTTGTAAAACAGACAAATTTGCCTGATAATATAAATTATATTTATAAATATTTTAATAAAATTTTAAATTTGATTTTATCTATATAAATAATATATTGAAATATATTCTTTATTAATGTTATTATAAAAGTTTTTAAAATTACTAAAGAATTTTTAAGTAATAAATTTTTAAATTCTTTGTTCAAAAATTTTTATTATAAATTTTTTCAAAGAGTTTTTAAAAATTTTATATATTTCTGATATAAAATATTTATCTTTAATGCAAGTTTAATTTTTTTTTTTTTGTTTCAACAAAACCTTTGTCTCAAATTTATTAATTAGAAAAAGAGAAAGTTTTTTACATTATTTTTATTTTTTTTTTTTTTGTTCCAGTGAGGTCTTGCCTCAAATTTATTAATTAGAAAAAAGATAAAGTCTTTTACATTTTATAGAATCATATAATACAAAATACACAACTTATTCTAATGTTTATTTGACATCAGAAAATTTTTGGAAGCAAATATATCCAAATATATTTGAACTGAATATATCTGGATATATTTGACCACCTACACATTCATTCACATTAAATATTCAAATTTATTCAGATAAATATGTAAATATATTTACATATATTTGTTTATTCAAATTTATCCAAATACATTTTTCAAATATATTCACATATATTTGTGTATTCGAATTTATCCGAATACATTTTTCAAATATATTCACAGTATGACGATAAACTGTACAGTACGAAAAGCTATTTTGTACTGTACGATTTTACATAAATTTTGTACAAAAATCGTACAATACCTATAAAATTCGTA